GTGCTCGCCACGTGCACCAGTGCCGGAAGTTTTTCCCTTAGCAGTACCCGTAGTGAGGGAGCACCGCTGCGACCCCTGGAGCACCTCTATATCGCGCTATAAGGGGAGCTACGGGCTCCCTCCACCCTCGGTTCCTTCTTGCTGGACAACTCCGACACAGGGGAAGGAGGGCGGGGTGTGGAATAGACAGGAGCAACACATCTCGAAGAACGCCAGTTACGGAACAGGTAACTGTCCTTTCTTCTTCGAGTGATTGCTCCTGTGTATTCCCCTGTAGGCGACTCCAAGCTATACCTGATGGAGGTGGGTAGGAGTTTTAAGGGTTACCTGGGCGGAGCACCGCCCTACCAAACCCAGCGTCATCCCACGTTTGGGGGACGATCGCATAGTGTGATGAGAAGGTGTGGACAGAGGACCACGTAGCACCCCTGCAGATGTCCTGAATAGGGACATGAGCCACGTAGGCAGCCGAGGAGGCCTGAGCTCTCGTCGAATGAGCCTTCACTACAGGAGGCGGGGGAACCCCTGCCAGGTCGTAACGTGTGCGTATGCACGAGGTGATCCAGCGGGAAATCCGCTGGGTGGAGACCGGTCGCCCCCTCATGCGCTCGGCCGACGCAATAAACAGCTGGGGGGGGGGGGGGATTTCCTAAATGACCCGGTTCTGTCTAGGTAAAAAGCCAGCGCTCTGCACACATCTAGCATATGCAGGCGCCGTTCCTCATTGGAGGAATGGGGCTTAGGACAGAGGACCAGAAGGAAAATATCCTGGTCTATGTGAAAAGCCGAAACTACCTTCGGCAGGAAAGCTGGATGTGGGCGGAGCTGAACCTTATCCCTATGGAAGACCGTGTTCCACTGATGAACAAGTACCACTAAGGCTAGAATCGCTGCAGCCAAGGCTGTAGCACAAAGTTCCCACTACCTTCACTGGTGGCAAGAAGGAACTGAGGGTGGGGGGAGCACACAGCCCCCTTTATGGCACAATATACAGGCGCCACTCCAGGGGTCGCAGCTGGGCTCCCCCACTATGGGTACTGCTAAGGGAAAAACTTCCGGCACCGGTGCACATGGCGAGCACGCACACCTACTGTGGAATACACCTGAGCAAGCACTCGAAGAAGAAGTGTTAGCTCACAGAAGAGTGCAGTATTCCTCCCCAGTCACTCTGGTTATGTTGCAGTTTCCAGGTTTATTCTGCAGGCGGGGAAGGAGTGTAGCTGTAAGACAGCACAATGTTTCTTAACTTGCTAATGACTGTCCAAAAGCAGCGGCCAGGCTGCCAAGAAGAGCAAGTCACACCAAGCTGTGTTGAGAGAGGCTGAGAAATGGCTGCTAGAGATTAGAGCCACAGCATCCAATTGATTGCCTCTTGTGAGCAGGCTCGGTTTCATTCAGGCTTCTGCTGGAGGAACTTGCGGCACCACGGGAAACATCATGGAAACATTTCCAATTTAAGCTCTTTTGAAACAATTTGCCCCTCTTCCTCACAGCTGCACAGGGCTACGCTCCAGATGGCGTGCACTGCTCCACAGACGAACTCCAGTTTAACTGGCGGGTTTAGCCAGGCCACTCTATAACACTGGGGCTCTACCAGAGCACACTGAATAATCTGCTCCAAAATCTGCTGCACCACATCAGCCCTGAGTCACAGATCCTGCCTCCACTCGCCCCTTGTGCAATGCTGCCCACAGAAGCAGCCATCCCTACCTGGAATACATCAGTGCAGAAGAGAAAAAACGGTTCCTCACCTTCTCGTAACTGTTTTTCTTCGAGATGTGGTGTTCATGTCTATTCCAATCAGTGTGTGCGCGCGCACGGGCGCGGTAGCCAGAAGATTTTTCCAATAGCCGCGTCCGTCGGGTCAGTCTGGGCGCCCCCTGGAGTCGCGCCCTCATGGCGCACAATATAGAGCCCTGGCGACGCGCCACCCCTTCAGTTCCTTCTTGCTGGCTACTCCGACAGAGGTATAGGAGGGTGGGTATTGGAATGGACATGAACACACCTCGAAGAACAACAGTTATGAGAAGGTGAGTAACCGTTTTTAATTCTTCGAGTGCTTGTTCATGTCGATTCCAATCAGGTGACTCACAAGCCCAAGTTTAGGTGGTGGGGTCGGAGTCTTCCACTGATTGAAGCACTGCTCGTCCGAAGGCCGCATCGTCTCTGGCCTGCTGGGTAATCACACAGTGCGTGGTGAAGGTTTGGATGGAGGACCACGTCATC